GCGGGCGGGGCTCGGCCGCCGCCTTGCGCAAGGGTTTGAGGGAAGCGGGCTCTCCGCACCTGCGGCTCCTAGCCGGGGAGGCGAGGTTGCTGCCATGCTGGCCGGAGAAACAAAAAGCGAAAGGCACGGTGTCGGGAAGCAAAAGGGAAGGCGGGGGGTAGGCCTGGAGGAAGGCTGTCAGCGTTGTGCGGGCAAGAGTTGATCCGATCTCTTTTATTGGACCAACTAAAATGAGTTGGTCTAATAAAAGAGATGGGATTTACCCACAGGATCTTGGCTGCCTGTGTCCCGAGATCAACACGGCTGCACCCTGCATCTCTGATTCACGGTTGTGCACAGCTTGTTCCTTTTTGGATGTGATTTAGTTTAGTTAAAAAAGCAACAAAAATAGGGTTTTGAGAAGTGCATAGGCCTTCAGGAGTTCCTTCACGGGTGTGCGGGGTGTAGGTAGAAGCTGTGTTGGTCTAAGGATGTAGGCAGACAAGGTTCTTTGGGTAAATCCAATATGTTTTATTAGACCAACTCAAACTGACACTTTCTTGCATACCTACTGGCCTCTGGCTGCTTTACTAGACCATCCGGAAGATCTGCAGATGCTTCCTCTGACCGACAAAGGGTATTTGTACCCAGCAGCTTGCAAAGAAGAATTTTGCCAACAGTTTTGAGTTGGTCTAATAAAAAAAATCAGATTTACCCAAAGAACCTTTCTGCAGCATTTGTTCCTTTAGATGATAATTAGTTAAGTTAAAAAAAACAAAATGATTAAAACAAACAAAAAAAATGAGCCCAGGAACAAATTGCTATACATGACCAGCATGTAAGTTTTTAGTGTCTCTCTTTATAAGAAGGGTATTTTGTTTATACCAGTTCTAAGCTTCATTAAAAAAAATTGTAGTAGATATGGATGAAATCTTTAATGTGAACTTTTTGGAACAGAAATTAAAAAGTAAATTTACTTTTTTGAAATAAATTTTTCAGAAAATTATAGCTCCTCTTGGCAGATATTTTGCATATGCACTTATGCATCATCTCCATTCTCCTTAGCACTTCTCCACATCCTCAAGATGCTTTACAAACTTTCATTCCTTCTTGCACCTTTGTGAGATACAAAAATAGTGTTGTTGTTTGCAAATGGGGAAATTGAGACAAAGTGATTTGCCTGCCACTGTCCAGTAAAGTCAGTGGTAAAATTTAAGTTTCAAACTACCTAAGTTTATGCCTTCCTGTCTTGTGCACTACTCTGCCACTCTTCTAAAACCATTCGGAAATAGCCTGCTATTTCCTCTGCGTCTTCATGGCTTCTTAGTAGGAGAAAATATTGGCAGAAGAGGGGAAGGAATAATGGATACTTCCTGTGGATAATTTTTTTGTCAATCTCAACACTTCCAGTCTTTAATTTTTGTTAGTTTCCATTATCAGTGGCTTACAATAATTACTTATTGAACACATTTCCTCCAATACATTAGATTCCCTTTCTCTTCAAAGGGAGAGAATCCATGGCAAGTTTAGAAACAAGCTGATTTAAAAAAATGTTTTCTCAAAACAGAAAGGACTCTATTTTAGAAATCAACATACATAATGGGGTTTTTTCATGTTAAGATGGTTGCTAACTTTAACACTGAGAAACCTCAGTCTAAATGTAAAGCTTTT